CCCTCTCTCTCTCTCCCTCTCCCTCTCCCTCTCCTCTCTCTCTCTCCCTCTCCTCTCTCTCTCTCTCTGTCTCTCTCTCTCCCTTCCCCCCACTCCGACCCCTGTTTTCCTCCAGGCACTGCGTGGATCTCTTCATGGACTTCATCGCAGTCTTCAGAAAGCTGATGTTCTTGCTCGCCTTGAACGAAAAGGTGAGTCCGCCTCAGGGTCGCTGTCCCACTGCACTGTCACACAGTCCACACGGGCTTCAGTCCCTGGGGTTAGATACAGAGCTCCCTCTACACCATCTGCAGCTGCAGCTCTACAAAACCCTGGTTAGACCACACTTGGAATATTGTGTTCAGCTCTGGTCACCCCATTATAGGAAGGATGTGGAAGCTTTAGAGAGGGTGCAGAGGAGATTTACCAGGATGCTGCCTGGACTGGAGGGCAGGTCTTATGAGGAAAGGTTGAGGGAGCTAGGGTTTTTTTCATTGGAGTGAAGAAGGATGAGACATGACTTGATAGAGGTGTACAAGATGATGAGAGGCATAGATAGAGTGGATAGCCAGAGACTTTTTCCCAGGGCGGAAATGACTATTACGAGGGGGCATAATTTTAAGCTGATTGGAGGAAGGTTTAGGGGAGATGTCAGAGGTAGGTTCTTTACTCAGAGAGTGGTGGGTGCGTGGAATGCGCTGCCCCAGCAGTGGTAGTGGAGTCAGGTACTTTAGAGACTTTTAAGCGACTCTTAGATAGGCACATGGAAGATTGTAAAATGTAGGGCATGCAGGGTAGATTGATCTTAGTAGGTTCATAGGTTGGCACAACATCATGGGCCGAAGGGCCTGTACTGTGCTGTACTGTTCTACGTTCTATACACTGACCCCTCATCAAACACTCCCAGGGAAAGGGACAACACGGGGTTAGAGACAGAGTGAAGCTCTCTCTACCCATTTAACATAAAAGTAATGCTGTCTCTACACTGTCCCCATCTGAACTGAGACCTTCTAGGCCAGAGGTAGGGACCTGCCCACTACACCACAGCAGCGCCTCACTGCAGCTGGAGATTGGGGCAGATTGGGATTTTGTTCGATAAAGAACTGATTGGGTCAGTATCGACTGTATGAAACATTGGGAAAGGAGGAGGCCATTCAGCCCCCGCTCCTCAAGCCTGTCACACAGGAACAGCAGGAGGCCATTCAGCCCCCTCTCCTCGAGCCTGTCACACAGGAACAGCAGGAGGCCATTCAGCCCCCTCTCCTCGAGCCTGTCACACAGGGAACAGGAGGAGGCCATTCAGCCCCCTCTCCTCGAGCCTGTCACACAGGGAACAGGAGGAGGCCATTCAGCC